GGGGGGGGGGGGGGGGGGGGGGTGGGGGGGGGGGGGGGGGGGGGGGGGGGCGGTGGATTATTACCTTTTAATCTAATGACTTTTCTTAATCTGTAAATGTCTAATCTGTGAAAGGATTTTCAGGATTAGTCTTTATGTCTTTGGTACCAGGTGTGGGCCGCAGCCCACGGCCCAGAAGTGGTTTAACCCCAAATCTGGTCCAAACTATTGATGTACACGTGGGCCACTGAATCCTAGTGGTTGATTTTTATGGGCCGAGTCATTTGTGTGGCCCATTTTTAGGTCTGACCCAGATTGGTTTTGTTTGTTTTTTTTCCTTCTGACTGAAACATGTTTCACTGACTTTGTTTCTATCTCCATCACCTCCTCCATCACCTCCTCCTTCACCTCCTCCTTCACCCCCCCACCCTGCGTCTCCTCTCTGTCTGTTCCTGTCTTCTTCGTCCTTCCTCTCACTCACTTCCTGTCTGTTCTCTGTCCCCTGTCCCGTCCACGCCCTCCAGCTTTGGCAGCCAGCGGCGGTCAGCTGTCCCTCTCCAGCCTGGACGGGGGGGCGGCCCACATGCTCCTGGGTGGACCCGGCGGCCCCTCCTCTCTGCGCCCCTCCCTGTTCCTCAACCGCCCGACTCTTCTCCCGATGGTGACCGGCTCCATCGCCTCCACCTCCTCGCCCATGGGCCTGGTCAGCAGCGGCGGCGTTGTCATCGGCGGGCCCAGGCCGTGCTTCACCCAGTCTCCTTCCGCCGGCGCCCACGGCCACCTGATGAGCCCCACCTCCTGCCCCGAGGAGTCCGTGTCTCCGTGCTCCAGCCCCGCCTCCTTCTGTTCCTTCAGCGAGGCCTCGCCGCCGCCCCTGGGCGGGACCATGGCCGAGTGATTTCCTGGAACGACAGCCAAAGTATCCTATCAGAGGAGGCGGAGTAGGAGGAGCAGGAGGAGGAGCGGGAGCAGCAGGAGGAGTGTTAAAGGAGCTTTAAGAAATCCAAATTTACAACCTCGCCTTTCAACCAAAGCCATCTCTCTGTCCGATCCATCGCTGGGTTCCTCTCTCTGAGCGTGTCTCCCCTCTGACGTCGTCTGAAGCCAAAAATATACACTGACCAAAGAGGGGCGCCAAAACGGAGGACGAGAGAGAGAGAGGGAGAGAGAGACAGCATGGAGAGGAGAGAGAGAACTGCAGATCGGAGAGGAGAAATCTGAAACCAAATAATGATGGAGAGCTGGAGACGTGGCAGCGAGCAGTGTGACTTCTGTTTCTTTAGCTTGGCATCAGGGGAGAAGGACGGCCACGCCTCCTTCCATCGGAGGAGGAGGAGGAGAAGAAGACGACGACGAGACCGAGGGCAGGGACGAGACCTGGAACTGTGTGTGTGTGTGTGTGTGTGTGTGTGTGTGTGTGTGTGTGGACGAAGGAAGAGACTCGTTCCACGAGCTCAGAAGGTCAGGACGTGGGCTGCAACCAAAAGTTTTTTAACAAAGAAAAGAAGCTAGAAGAGAAACACACACCTGACAAAGATGAAAACCAAAATCTCCAAATACCAAAAACTGAAAACCAAAAAAAAAAAGACAAAAAAAAAAAAAAAACAATAACGGAGAGAAAAGCTTTAGTTCAAAAAGACTTTTTCATCCTGATCTGTCCAGGATCAGTTCACCTCCCATTCCACATCAGGCCTCCAGGGGTCCTCAGTTCTGTGACATTTCTACTGTTTTAATGTTTTACAGCTGATCACTGCAGCAGGGTCGCGACCTACCTCTATACAAACACAGCTTTAACCACATTAACACCGCAACACCATTGTTTGTTTGTTTTATTCAGCCTGGAGGAGCAGATGGGTGGAGTTTACCTACATGTATTTTTGGGGGATTTGAACACAATTTTAATCAGATTAAAAAAAACAGACTTGGTTTCTAAGTCGGGGTCAAAGGTCAAAAGGACCAGAAGTTTATATCAAATCCCATCATGCCTTGCGAGGCGCTCGAGCCTAATTAGGCAGATCTGTGCATACTCTGCATTATAGATGATACTACAGTACTACTAACTGCAGTACTGTGGTGTGTATTTAGTTGTACTTCGAGGTAAACTCCATCCTTCCGCCTCATTAAAGGCCAAACATCGACCAATCATGGGGTCGAATCCCATTGGATTGGTGTCAGACCTGAGCTTAGACCCAGTGACGTCCGGTGCCGGGCTGTTGGTGTGGCTGTAACACGGGGGCGTGGGCTGGAGGAGGACACCTCACACTCAGATGTGGGTTTTTATTTTATTTGAATTCATTTTCTCAACGATCGGTCCATCCCATCCTCGCGGTCCAGATGGTCCAGATCCAGATCCGCTCATCTTCCACCTGACAGTCACTCTTGGAAACCAAAGCATCGCCTGCGGCGGCGTCGTCTCTGGATCGGCTCCAGGAGACGAGCGTCCAGACAAAACCTCAGCAGTGTCGGAGGAGGGAGACAACAAACGCACCACCCAGTCCAAACCAAAAAAAAAGAACAAAGAAAAGAGGTGAAGCACCGGTGTTTCCCCTTTACCGCGCACCCCCGCACC